CAGGCAAAGATCGCTTCTCCATCTGAATCGGGCCAGTTCCTCGGTTTCGACATCGGCTTGGAGAACTACGTTCTGCGTCGATCCACGGCAAAGAGCGCCTCTATAAGGATAGCTGTCGGACACGCTCTAAGGTTGGATGCGATTCCTCTCAGGATACTCGCCGGATTGTGGGATTCCTCTCCTCCTCTCCTCCTCCATACAAGCGATATTCCCTGGCCCACTAAACTACAGGGCCATTCAACGACGAGATACGTACGCACCGGTCACTCATACGACCACTGGATACCACTGTCAGCAGAAGGGAGGACGGAATTTCAAAGGAGATTACTTCACATACAAACTTGGATTGGCAAAACGACCTTTGACTCTTCCTTCGGATACGAGGCGATGGATGAACCCCTACAAACGTGACCCAGCCGTTCTCAACAATAGCAAGGGTGCTTCAATACACACGCACCCAGGGCTGCCATCAGAAATGTTGGGGCCCCTGACACAGCTCAAGGTCTGGGCCCCCCGGCCTCCCAGTCCGCCCAAAGTGCTGCCCCCCCCCCCGAATCCCATCACAATGGGACATCACAATTCCCCACCCATATGATCTGCCATGTTAACAAACACCAGTGCTGCAGTGCCGCCGTGTATACATTAAAAAGCCTGCAGGGACAGGCTAGACACCAGAACCACTACATTAAGCTGCAGTGGTTCTGGGGACTATAGTGTCCCTTTAATGTGAGGTAAATTAGAGATTAGTGCCACAAATAATATACTAGATTGCCTACTTACAACCAAATGAGGATGATGATGGGCTCTAGCTGCCGTCTGGCTCCACTGGTCTGGTGTACAACAGGCTCTCTGGAGGCGGTTTGTAACTGTGGTCACAAAAATCACTGTTCTGGGAGAACGGGAAGCAGCTCCATTTTTTTGAGGGCCCTTTACACAGCTCAAGGTCTGGGTCCCAGGGTCCACCTTCATGTTCCACCAATGAGTTTGTTCACAGGGAGTGGAGTGTGTGTGTGGGGGATGTCCTGATGTGTGTAAGGAATGCATTGTGTGAATCTGTGTTTGTATGTGTAAGGGCTGCAAGATGAGTTTGTGTATGTATGGGATGCAGTGTGTGCGTGTGTAAGGGATGCATTGAGTGTGTGTAAGGGGTGCATTGTGTGTTGCTGTGTGTAAGGGATGCATTGCTTGTGTACGTGTGTCTGTGTGTAATGCATTGTGTGTTTTTCTACGTGCAAGGTGTGCATTGTGTGTGATGGATGTCAATCTCTACCCCTCCCGCCCGTCAATTTCCTTCTCCCCCCCTCTCCCTCTAATTTCCTTCTTCTCCCCCTCCCTCCCTCTTTCCAATTTCCTTCTTCCCCCCTCCAATTTCCTTCCTCTCCCCCGTCCCTCAAATTTTCTTCCTCTCCCCCCGTCCCTCAAATTTTCTTCCTCTCCCCCGTCCCTCAAATTTCCTTCCTCTCCCCCGTCCCTCAAATTTCCTTCCTCTCTCCCTCCCTCAAATTTCCTTCCTCTCTCCCTGCCTCAAATTTCCTTCCTCTCCCCCTCCCTCCCTCAAATTTCATTCCTCTCCCCACCTCAAATTTCCTTCCTCTCTCCCTCCCTCAAATTTCCTTCCTCTCTCCCTGCCTCAAATTTCCTTCCTCTCTCCCTGCCTCAAATTTCCTTCCTCTCCTCCCTCAAATTCCATTCCTCTCCCCCCTCAAATTTCATTCCTCCACCCCTCCCTCAAATTTCATTTCTTTCCCCCCCTCTCAAATTTAATTCCTCTCCCCCCTCAAATTTCATTCCTGTCCCCCTCCCTCAAATTCTCTTTCCCCGCCTCCCCAAATTTCATTCCTCCCCAAATTTCATTCCTTCCTCCTCCCATAAATTTCTTCCTCCCCTCCCATTTAATTCCCCATTTAATTCCCTCCTCCCTCCCATTTCATTTACTCCCCTCTCTCAAATTCCATTTCTCACCCCCCTCCCTCATTTCATTCCTCCCCCCTCCTGACACTGGCGGCGGGCGGGCAGGCCGGCTGCGAGGGAGCACTCTCTGTGTGCTTCCTCTTCAGCTCCCTCGCGCGCCGCGTACTGATGCCGGAGCCGGAAGATGACGTCATCTTCCGGCTCCGGCATCAGTACGGTGCGCGAGGGAGCTGAAGAGGAAGCACACAGAGAGTGCTCCCTCGCGCGCCGGCCGGCTTTCAGGGCCAGCCTCTGGGGGGCCCTGAGGTGACCGGCTGCTGGGCCCCCCAGGAGAAGAGGCTGGCCCTGTGGGTACATACCGGGTCGCAGGGCCCCCTGCGACCCGGTATGTACCCACTGAATCTGGGGCCCGGACGACCTGAGCAGTTCGGGCCCCCCAGGACTGCCGGGCCCATGACAACCGTTGCGGTTGTCATGCCCTGATGGCGGCCCTGCACGCACCCATAAGATATCGCTCCTGCTCATGACACCCCATGGTTTCCCGGATCGCCTGGAGATGTCTCGCGAAGACCCTCTACTACTCCCTACCTTCCCTCTACTTCCGACGGGACCTCGAGGGGAAGCCCACTCCCTTGTCATGGAAGGACAACTTGCACTAGTTGCCTGGACGATTTCAGGGGCTCCTGGTCGGTTCACGACCTATTGCATCAACTAAGACCTCCTATGGGACTCATAGGCTCCAGGCACCAGGAAAAGCTATATTTCTGCCTGGTCGGCCTGGAGTGATAGGTGTGTGGAAAGGGATTCTGATCCCTTTACCTCACCTGTCCTACTGATACTCAACTATCTGTCACACCTGGTCTCGTTGGGTCGGTCATATCGACCCCTCAACGTGATCAGATCCGCCATATCGGCGGCACACGTTCCGGTACAGGGCAGACCAGTAGCGGCCCCACAAACCTTTTCGGCCGACGCTTCCCTGGCCGACATTATACGCTGCGCGGACTGAGCGCGAGAGAGTACGTTTAGAACGTTCTATTTCGACAAACATCTCATGCTTCCTTCACATTGGTCAATTCAAAGCTTTAAAAATGCAAATATGAAGCCTCCTGTCATGTGGTAAAATTGAAGATTATATTAGCTTTAGTGTACTAATAATCTTAATTTTAGTAATGACAGGAGGCGAATATTTCCCACCCTATAGGATCCCTCCCATGTTTCTCGTGTTGAACAGAATATGTCCTTTATGTTCAGGAAGGTAAGTACGTATGGTTTGTATGTTTGCTACTTAGATCTGTATCTTGTGGATCTTGGATAGGTTGAATATTAGACATGAACCTTGCATTATGTTGTGTTTATAGATTCTTAAATGTCATTGCTTTAGAATAAATATACATTGATATGTTTCACATTCTAATGTTTGTTGGTATATCAGATGCTTAATGCTTATTGTATGCGGAAAAGTTATCACGCCAGAGCCCTTTCACCTTTTTCTTTTTCTTGCAGCGTGAACGTCTTCTCATCGAGACAAAGATTCACCTTCCATATCTCTGCATCGCGGAACTACTGGAGTTGGATATGCTAATATGTTGTTGAACTGTTGCCGTAATATGATTATGTCTCTTGTTGTTATTTATTGTTTCGCTTCAAAGAAAGAGGAAGTGATGTCATAGACAGGGCCTCTTATGGGCACCATATCTTTTCTCTGATTGGTTGTTACTGTTTCTATGCTACTGGAGTTTTCAGTAAAGAAAGATATGCAAATATTCGCCTCCTGTCATTACTAAAATTAATATTATTAGTACACTAAAGCTAATATAATCTTCAATTATATAGGAGCATAATTGATTGAATTTTGGCGCCAAAACTTAGTTTGTCCAATCAAAATTAAAAGCATATATATAACTTTAAAATACAAAAATAACTTCTTCTACACATAATTAGTAGTTATACAACTTGATTAGAATATGTTTAGGTTTAAAACGAAAGTAAAAAAGAATAGTTTAAAACAGTTTGAAAGAGTCATGTGACCGGCTGTACTTCCGGGTTTCGGAAGTTACGCCGCTATGCCGCATGGGAAATGTAGTCAAAAAGCGGCAGCCGTTTTAAAAGTTTCACAACCAGACTTTTTAAATTGCCCAGGTTAATAAAATGTGGTGGCAAGTAATAAAGTTAAAAAACGAAGGGGCTACCTATTGCAGAAAACACTTCTAAAGCGGTCACGTGATTTTCGGCAATAATAGCCGAAATGTCTTATGGGAATGATAGTTTGGAAGAGTCATGAGACCGGCGGCACTTCCGGGTTTTTGGAAGTACCGCCGCTATGCCGCATGGGAGATGTAGTCAAAAGCGGCAGCCGTTTTTAAAAGTCTCACAAACGGACTTATTAAGTTGCCCAAGTTTATATAGTGTGGTGGCAAATAATAAAGCTTAAAAACGAAGGGGCTACCTATTATAAAAAACACTTTTAAAGCGGTCACGTGATTTTCGGCAGTAATAGCCGAAATGTCTTATGGGAATGATAGTTTTGAATATAGCATGTAAATTAATGATAAAAGACATCAAATTTAAATAGTAGAATAGAAGAAAAACATGACATGACAATCATAATACTTATTCATTAGCTAAAAAGGAGCTGATAAAAATTAAACTTGAATTAAATTAAAAGCATCAATTGGAAAATAGAAAGACACTTCAAATTAAAGGGGCAGATTAGATAAAAAACAATTTTAAAAGAATGTTGTGTAAAAAACCATAATTAAAAGTACAGACATAAAAATTCATAAAAAATTGTGTAAATCAAAATCTGCATTAAGGCCATGGGGTATAAGAGTCTGAAGTTTATACACCCATTCCATCTCTGTTTTTCCAAGTAACTTTTTTATATCACCTCCTCGCCAAGAGGTAGAACATTTTTTTATACCAATACACTTTAATAAACGAGGATCTTTATTGTGCATAATAAAATGTTTGGATACTGTATGATTTAGGTATCCATTTTTAATATTTCTGCAATGTTTGCTTAGTCTTATTTTTAGGCACCTTGTGGTCATCCCCACATATTGGAGGCCACATGGGCACTCAAGCAGATAGATAACATTTTTTGTATGGCAGCTTATAAAATCATGAATATCATACACTTTTTTGGTTTGATTTGACATAAATTTTGTAATTTTTGATGAAATGACATGATCCACAGTTTTACATACAATGCATTGTTTGCATCTAAAAAAAACTTTTGTCTGAGGGAAAAATGATACATTTTTTAAAGGAGATTTTTTTGTAAAGTTTGTAGTTAAAATAGATTTAAAATTAGGTGCTCCTCTAAAAACAATGTTTGGATGAGTAGGTATAATAGAATTGAGTATCTCATCATGCTTAAGTAGGTGCCAGTGTTTTCTTATTATTATTATTATTTTATTTTTTTAATTCTTTATTTTCTGTGCATTGAGAAATGTAACAAAACATAACATACTTGTGTTCTGCCTTTTCAACATAGGCAGATTAGTAAACAGCATTGTTTTGCCAAGGATCAGGGTTAGTCTATACGTTTTACAATTCTAACATATCCGGAGCGTAGGATTGGCAGCAAGTATATAGTGTGTGTCTTTTTGTTCTATGGTCGGAGGAATTCACCTGCGTCCTATTAGTCAGGAAGAACTTTGTGGTCATGTTTCTGCACTTTTTCTGTTTTTCTAATGTGTCGAGTGTGCCCATGCGCTAGGTTCCCATAGGGTGAGCTGGTTGTGAGTGATTGTGTCTATGTTGCTTGGGTCCTGTGAGTGGTTAAGTGGCACTTCTCTCGGTTGTTTGAGGGAGGGTGTTGGTGATTATGAAGTGCTGCTGTTCATCGTCGGTTAAAGTGGTATATGTGCGTCTGTCTGTGCCTGAGTGTGGGTTTCGTGTCGTGCTTGCTATGCTTGGATTAGTAGGTAGTGTTGGCCCTTAACCTAAGAGGGTCACGGGGGTTGGGAGTTCGTCTCCGTCTTTGTATGGGGAGTTATTAGTAAAATGTTGTATTTTGGTAAAGCAGTAGGGTGAGATCAGAGAAGGGGAGAGAATATCAGAGCATGGAAATCAAAAGGTAAACAGTTTGAGGTGTTCAGGTCTCTGCCTCCGGTCTCTTGTTGCCCCTGGGGACGTATGGTACTGTTCTGTCTGGGTCCCATGAGTGGGGGGCTTGTGTTGGTCCTGGTGTTGGGGCGTTCTGAATTAGTCCCAATTTTTGGAGAAGCGCTGGGGCCTCCAAGAGTGAGGTGAGTTTTAGAACCTCTTCTCTGCTGAATACCGCCAGGGTTCTTGGCAACAGCCATCTGTATTCTACGTTCCCCTTCTGCAGTTGTTCCGTTACGTTGCTCAAGGACTTTCTCCAGAGTAGGGTGCTCCGCGTGATATCCTGGAAGAAGGTAAGTTGTGAGGCTTCGAAGGCCAAGGGTGTCTTGTCTCTCACTGCTGTTAGTATGCGGCGTTTGTCTGTCATGGAATGGCAGCAGACGATGACGTCCCTTGGGGCCGTTGTGGGTGCCCTTTTTGCTTTGTTAATGCGGACGTGGCTGTCAAATTCCAGCTTTTTGGCTTGTGTATGTGGCAGTATTGTGGCCGTGAGTCTCCTCAGGTACTGTGGTAATTCGGATGGTCCCACTGCATCAGGGATACCCCGGATCTTGATATGTGTGCGCCTGCTGCGATCTTCCATGGCGTCTAGCGTGTTTTGGAGCGCTGAGTTCGCTGTCTGTAAATGTTTCAGGGCGTCCCCCATGCTTTTCACCTCTTGTCGGAGGTCTAGTATGTCTTCTTCAGAGGCCTGTACTCGTGCCGTCACTGCCTGTGTTTCTGTGCGTATTAGGTTTATGTCTGTGTCAAACAGCCCCTTCATCTCCTGTAATAGGAGTCTGATATCCCTTTTAGTGGCTGGGGCTGAGTCATCCCCCTCTGCTTGTGGGCTGCTGGGGGCTTCAGCTCTCATGTCTGTGTTGCTTCCCTGGGACAGCTGTACTGAGTGTGTGGGGCCAGGTTCCTGATCTTGTTCGGCCGCCATTTTGTGGCCTGCTGTGTGTTGAAGCAGAGTCCCAATGTCTTGGGAGTCCCTGGGTGCTGCCTGTTGTGGCTTCTGTGATCACCTCCCCATTTCGTTGTCGGGTGAGTGGTGACCTGCCCGCTGTCTGCACCAGTCCTCCAGGCTCAGGGAGATCCCCGCGGGTAGCTGCGATGCCGGCGGGAGAGCGAGGTAGGCCCGGGATTTGCGGACTCGTTTTTTGCCCGGTTGTGGGTATAAAAAGGGCATCGGTGGGTAGCCCTGGGAGCCCTGGGGTTGTAGCTGTGGGTCCTGCGGGTCGATGGCCCCCCCTACCTGAGATGCGCGGCGGATTGTGTCTTTGTGCCGGGGAGCCGTGGATGATGGCGTCCATTCGGCTCAGTGGTTAAGCTCCGCCCCCTTCTTATTTTTTTGACATCGTTCTTGAGAAGCTAGGATTCCCGACATTCAAATAGATTTTATAATAGAAGGTATCAACATTATTTTAAAAAATAATTACTTCTGGTTTTTAGACTCTTTTTATTTACAAAGAAGAGGCACTGCTATGGGGACTAGGTTTGCCCCCAGTTACGCCAATTTGTTTATGGCTGACTGGGAAAACGAAGCCATATGGGGTAACCATATTTGGCGGGCAAACCTAGTCTCCTATTTCAGATATATAGACGACCTTTTTTTTATTTGGGATGGACCTGAAAAACATCTTATAGATTTTATTAATTATTTAAATACTAATAATAGGGGAATCATCCTTACATACGAATTCAGCAAACAATCTATTAATTTTTTAGACTTAAATATTTTTATTAATAATGGGCAACTCCAAACAAAAACTTATTTAAAAAAAGTATGTGTTAACACGGCCATTGACAGGTCTAGCTGTCACTATAAGCCGTGGCTAGAAAGTGCCCCAAAAAGTCAGTTTTTACGCCTTCGCAGAAATTGCTCAGAACTCACAGATTTTAATGAACAAGCAGAGTTTTTAAAAAATAAATTTATTGAAAAAAATTACTCAGAACCAGATCTGAATATCACAATTAATACAGTCAAACAAAAAGAACGTAAAGATCTTTTGATATATAAAAATAAAGAAAATAATGAAATTATATCACTTCCAGTTATTTTTAATTTTAATAATAAAAGCAACGATGTCAAAAAAATAATAAGAAAACACTGGCACCTACTTAAGCATGATGAGATACTCAATTCTATTATACCTACTCATCCAAACATTGTTTTTAGAGGAGCACCTAATTTTAAATCTATTTTAACTACAAACTTTACAAAAAAATCTCCTTTAAAAAATGTATAATTTTTCCCTCAGACAAAAGGTTTTTTTAGATGCAAACAATGCATTGTATGTAAAACTGTGGATCATGTCATTTCATCAAAAATTACAAAATTTATGTCAAATCAAACCAAAAAAGTGTATGATATTCATGATTTTATAAGCTGCCATACAAAATTTTTTATCTATCTGCTTGAGTGCCCATGTGGCCTCCAATATGTGGGGATGACCACAAGGTGCCTAAAAATAAGACTAAGCGAACATTGCAGAAATATTAAAAATGGATACCTAAATCATACAGTATCCAAACATTTTATTATGCACAATAAAGATCCTCGTTTATTAACCCCTTAAGACCGGAGGGCGTACTATTACGTCCTCTAATAGGCGGCTCTAAACGCCGCCGGGCGTAATAGTACGCCCTCCGGTCTTTCTGTACTTACCCGGTCGCCGGCGGTCCCACGCCGGCGATCGCGGTGGGGGGGACTCCCAGGGAGCCCCCCGCGGCACGACCGTCCTCCAGGAAGCCCCCCGGCCGTGTGAGAGTGGGGTCCTAGCGAGGACCCCACAATCACATGGCCGGGTATAGCTGGCTTCTGTATTGCCAGCAGGGGGGCTGCCTGTAATTACAGGGGGTCCCCCTGCTGGCTGAAAATAAAAGTAAAATAAGTTAAAAGTGTAAAAAAATAAAATTATATATACTTAGATCATATATATATATTATATATATATGATCAAAGTATATATATACACATATACATACACACATGTACAGCGTCTAGGTGTATTTTACTATTAATATATATATAATTATATATATATATTAATATCAAATTACACGTAGACTGATACTGATTAAATATATATATAATTATTGTTATATATATATTTATATATATTATAAAAAAAATTAAAATGTAAATACGTTAAAAAATAAAATTACAAAAATAATTAAAAATAAATAATTAAAAAATATATAGATGTGTGTTATTTCGTTCTAACTGTATTGTGAAATTAATATATATATATATATATCAAAATACACATAGAACGAAATAATATATATATTTATACACATAAATATATACGTATATATCACTATATATATACCTATATATAAATAAAAATATTTTAAAAAATTATATAGATATATACATATATATACACATACGTATATATATACATATATTGATTCTACATATATATTTATGTAATATTTTTACATAATTAGGTATCTTAATTAATTACAATTAGCAGGACCTGCATGACAACCCATGCCGAAAGTAAAGGGAATTTAATTTGCTAGCACTATATTTAACCCTATAACTTTCCAAGACACCATAAAACCTGTACATGGGGGGTACTGTTCTACTCGGGAGACTTCGCTGAACACAAATATTAGTGTTTCAAAACAGTAAAATGTATTACAACGATGATATCGCCAGTAAAAGTGAAGTTTTTTGCATTTTTCACGCACAAACAGCATTAAACGGACAATATTATTGCTATGATACTTTTTACTGTTTTGAAACACAAATATTTGTGTTCAGTGAAGTCTCCCGAGTACAACAGTACCCCTCATGTACAGGTTTTATAGTGTTTTCAAAAGTTACAGCGTCAAATATAAGGCTTGCGTTTCATTTTTTTCACATTAAAATTCGCCAGATTGGTTACGCTGCCTTTGAGACCCTATGGTAGCCCAAGAATGAAAATTACCCCTATGATGGCATACCATTTGCAATAGTAGACAACCCAAGGTATTGCAAACGGGGTATGTCCAGTCTTTTTTAGTAGCCACTTAGTCACAAACACTGGCCAAAATTGGCGTTTTTTGCATTTTTCACACACAAACAAATACTAACGCTAACTTTGGCCAGTGTTTGTGACCAAATGGCTACTAAAAAAGACTGGACATACCCCATTTGCAATACCTTGGGTTGTCTACTATTGCAAATGGTATGCCATTATGGGTGTAAATTTCATTCCGGGCTACTATACAGTCTCAAAGGCAACGTAACCAATCTGGCGAATTTCAATTTCAAATGTAACGTGCTATATTTGACCCTGTAACTTCCCAAAATGCCATAAAACCTGTACATAGGGGGTACTGTCTTACACGTGAGACTTTACTGAATACAAATATGTGTATTTTATTGCAGTAAAAGCAAACAGTATTATGACACTGACCGTTAAAATGTCATGTAGAACTAAAAAAATCCAAAAAAATCGTATTTTCTCCCATCTTTTTCATATTAAATTATGTTTCATAGCTAAATATTTGATATTAAATGAAAGCCCTGTTTCCCCTGAATAAAATGATATATAATAAGGGTGGGTGCATTTACTATGAAAGAGGTGTATTACGGTTGGACAGACATGTAGCGGAAATGCCAGGTTTTGTTTACATTTTGTTTTGTTCACAACGTGTACATTTGGCTCCGTCCTTAAGGGGTTAAAGTGTATTGGTATAAAAAAATGTTCTACCTCTTGGCGAGGAGGTGATATAAAAAAGTTACTTGGAAAAACAGAGATGGAATGGGTGTATAAACTTCAGACTCTTATACCCCATGGCCTTAATGCAGATTTTGATTTACACAATTTTTTATGAATTTTTATGTCTGTACTTTTAATTATGTTTTTTTACACAACATTCTTTTAAAATTGTTTTTTATCTAATCTGCCCCTTTAATTTGAAGTGTCTTTCTATTTTCCAATTGATGCTTTTAATTTAATTCAAGTTTAATTTTTATCAGCTCCTTTTTAGCTAATGAATAAGTATTATGATTGTCATGTCATGTTTTTCTTCTATTCTACTATTTAAATTTGATGTCTTTTATCATTAATTTACATGCTATATTCGAAACTATCATTCCCATAAGACATTTCGGCTATTACTGCCGAAAACCACGTGACCGCTTTAAAAGTGTTTTTTATAATAGGTAGCCCCTTCGTTTTAAAGCTTTATTATTTGCCACCACACTATATAAACTTGGGCAACTTAATAAGTCCGTTTGTGAGACTTTTAAAAACGGCTGCCGCTTTTGACTACATCTCCCATGCGGCATAGCGGCGGTACTTCCAAAAACCCGGAAGTGCCGCCGGTCTCATGACTCTTCCAAACTATCATTCCCATAAGACATTTTGGCTATTATTGCCGAAAATCACGTGACCGCTTTAGAAGTGTTTTCTGCAATAGGTAGCCCCTTCGTTTTTTAACTTTATTACTTGCCACCACATTTTATTAACCTGGGCAATTTAAAAAGTCTGGTTGTGAAACTTTTAAAACGGCTGCCGCTTTTTGACTACATTTCCCATGCGGCATAGCGGCGTAACTTCCGAAACCCGGAAGTACAGCCGGTCACATGACTCTTTCAAACTGTTTTAAACTATTCTTTTTTACTTTCGTTTTAAACCTAAACATATTCTAATCAAGTTGTATAACTACTAATTATGTGTAGAAGAATTTATTTTTGTATTTTAAAGTTATATATATGCTTTTAATTTTGATTGGACAAACTAAGTTTTGGCGCCAAAATTCAATCAATTATGCTCCTATATAATCTCTATGTGCCAGGTAAATCATGTTAATCCATTTGATAAAGTCCCTTTGAGACGAAACGCGTTATGGATATTTGAATATTGTGTTTTTATATATTAAAGTATTTTTGGTCATTTGCTTGTGCCAATTTATCTTTTTTATAGACACATATCTTTCTTTTTTACCCTGGCCCTTTTATTGTTATTTTAATTATTTTTAATGGTTTAAAAAAAAACAAAAAAACTAAAAATTCCTGGAAGTTTCCTGTACCCAAAGAAATCCGTAGGTGGGGATCAATCCACCCGAGCCATCATTAAAGAGCAGTGGATCTGCTCTTTCTTTGTAAGTACATTTCTTTTATTATTTTATTATCTGCCATTCAGTGAGCACTATTGGCTGTTTGTTTTATCCCGAGAATTGGATACCATTCACGGAGAGGAACCTGCTTTATATCCCACAAGCGGGGATTAAACCGCTGTACGCGCTTTACTCCAGAGCTGGACATTAGCTCTGGTAAATGTGAGTTTTATACTATTATTTTTACGTCTATACCTATATTTTACATACTACACCATTGGATGTCCCTTTTTCCTCTTTTTATTTTTCATAACGAGTGAAACCACCACAAAAATAGAAGACCCCACCAACCAAGGACACCTGTAAGAATATACCAATTGGACTTTCTCCCTTTTATTGGACTCTATTTTATGTATGTATAATGCAGTGATACTGGATCACATCTGCTGGTAAAGCATGTGCAATTCAACAGATGAAAAAGACATTATGCAAAAGAAAAGACAACACATTTCCATATGGCTTCTATTGTTTTTCAGTAATACACACACACACAAAACAAAGTGGTCAGAACTGTGAGTTTGAAAATAGAGGCAACTAAAACAAGACAGGTAGAATATTTTTTATTGTACTATAAGAAATATATACAAGCAAAAAAATGCAGATGATCAAATTTCCTTGGATTAATTATGCACTACATATAAAACTTCAATAAGCCTGTTTTATCCTTTTGTAAAAAAAAAAAAAAAAAAAATTTTGAAAACAGAAATCTGGATCACAAAAGTTAGGTCTTATTCAGTCTGAGGGAAAAATAAACAATACTTATGGGAACAGCTTTTGCTCCAGAAAGGTTATAATAACAGAACTTTCACAATCTTCTAGTCCAGTGCATGAAAACATTGTTATGATCCATGTACCTTAAGGTCTAGTCACTAAGGGTTGCATTGGTTTTGAGGAGAATCTCAGTGATAAAAATTCTTAGAAACTGTTCCAAGAAAAAAAAAAAAAAACTGTTGCTTACAATAAAATAAAAAGCATTCTGCCTCAAAAAAAACCAAACATAACATATTTATGAAATGCTCATAAAGACTGGGTTGGAATTTCACTGACAATCAAACAGAGTCATGAGATGTAGTAGGGACTACTTTGTCCTATGTAATTTTTCCTCCACTTGACAAAAAGGCAGAGCTAACTTTATTCAAGCCCTTACTAGTTACGGCTGAGGGGGAAAAGGGCTCTTTCTATGGAGGATCTCGCCGTCTCAGAGTTTCATCAGTGTTGTATTTTAGTGCATGCACGAGCATACAGCACTTATGTTGACTCTTGGCAGATGAAGCACTAAGAGCTGAAGAGGAACTTGTGGAAAAAGATGGGGGTGCCTGAACTGCAGGTCCATTACAATGCAAAAAGGACCACAGTCACCAGCTAGGGTCTTTGCAAAATATGCCAAGACCCCAGAAGATAACAGCCGCTTTAAGAACCAAGTCAATGAGGAGGAAAGATCAACAGCTTGAATATTAAAGGGAGTAAATTACAAGCCCAATGAAAAGCATAATGTCTAAAGAGGACTCATTTGAGCAAGGAGGGTAGTGAACAGCAGGATGTTTGATCTACCTGGTACAGTAGCTACAACCTGTGGGTTAGTGAACTTACCATAAATTTAGCTATATTTTTTTTCATAAAAGTACCATCTGCAAGAATATAATTTAAGAACGGCTTTAATATTAAACAAATTCTGTTAGACACAGGGAATACTCTGGTGAAATCAGTGAGGTTTCTGATGTGTTTACTATAGGGAGAATAGAAAAGCAACTTGTCTTAAGGGCTTGTGCACTAGATCCAAACACACCTCTCATAGCAAATCTGAAGGGTTCATTAAAACGACAAAGGAAGGAACAGGCAATCTGTGAAATTTCTGCAGTCATGGAATATAGTTGCCATAATGGCCAATCACTTTTAGGTGCCTGAACATTATGTGTGTTGTAGTGTAGAGCAGCTGTGTTAATAGTGGACACCTACACAGAAAAGTTTAAATATTTGAATGTCAGGGTACTCTTGATTTATACAATACATCGGTAAGGGGTTCAAAATGAAGTTGTAATCTAGACAACCCTATACCCTTTGTAACTTGTGTACTAGATTTTGCAGCAAACATACTAAAATCGCCATAGCTACTTCCTTATTGCGAGTACAAGTGTGCATTAGGAAAGCAATCATAACACTACAAATTAAACACATCCACACATACTTTGACAAGCTGCTGTATTATTGTGCGTATCGTAAGCCTGCTGTTATTTAACAGGCGTGCCGTTTGTACAAAGAAACTGGCACAGCAAAGTGATGTTGTGATGAGAAGATAGCGGCAGATTGGTTCAGCTAACCACTGGCTGCAGACTGCTCCTTGTCCTGCTTCAATCTGTAATCTGCAAGGGCAGCTCGGATAGCATCTTCAGCAAGCACTGGAAAAAAAGAACATGGTTTAAATAAATATATTGCAACCATGATAAATGTGATTCTTTAATTACAAACAGGAACATAAATGATTACATGGAATTTCATGGTTAAAGAAATATATGTCAAAACAAATGTTATACTATTTATATTTATGAAGGCTAAACCAAGAATTAAATATCAGCATAGGCAAAGAAGAGCTGAATTCCATCAAGTACTTTTATAGCAGATGGCATCTATAATCAACCTAATATGCAAGTGATGATGCCTTCATTAAAATAAAACCACTAAAACCACTTGTGCTCTTCATATAGGTTGGTCCTGCAACTCCCTCCCCCCCCCCTTATTTTATTAATTAGCTAAAGCAATTTGCATATGCTGTTGTTTAAATAAGCCTGGTCCTCCCTTTATTCATATTAAACCTGGTTTGCATAGATTGCAAAGCTTGATGATTTAGAATACAGATACTTTGTAAGCAAGTATCTTCCTATTTGTTTGCTGCAGATTTAAGTATGAATAAAATATTTACAAATTTGAAAATCCCAAAGAAGTTTAAATTTGTAATTATTTTTTGGAGGTTATAGGCCAGATAGCACGCAGAGCAGATTAGCGTTTTAAAATTTGCAAAGGTTTAGCTTTAACATGATGAAAATATAATAGTCACTGAATCCAAAATTGCTGCACAAAAATATATATATTTGTAGAAAGTAGACACCCAGGGTATATACAGTTTTAATCAAAATTATTCAATACTTATTGAAAACATAGGTTTATTGTCAAAATTAGACTTTCAGCTGTTTGCAATAAACAAAAGCTATTGAAATAGCTCATCACAATTAACGATTCACGTAGTTTCCCCAAATTCAACTGAAAATGCAACTTATAAAGACTTCTCCAGTCTCATAATTATTGAACCCCTTCATGGCATCTTTAGTTCTTAGTAGAGCACCTGTTTACGGTTATGACTGGCTGCAAATGAGATGCATAGCCAGACACCAGCTTCTGGCAGCATTCCTGAAAAACCCTAGCCCATTGTCATGAGCAATTGCCTCCCGTTCAGCAATATTCTTAGTTTTGTGTGCTGCAACCACCAGAGATTTTCTATGGGGTTAGTCAGGTGACTGTGATGGCTACTGTGGAATTTTTCAGGACATGCAACCAAGCCTTGGTGGAGTTTGAGGTATGTTAGGGATTATAGTCTTGTTGAAAGGTCCAATTCTTCTAAGATTTCCTAATACTTCAATGAATCCATCTTGTCTTCCACAAGCTGCAGGTTTTCAGTGCCAGAGGATGCAAAGCAGCCCTAGAGAATCACTCAGCCCCCACCATGTTTAACTGTAGTCAGAGTGTTATTTTCAGTGTATGCTTCATTTTTCTTCCTCCAAACATACTGCTGAAGCATTGGGCTGAAAAGTTCTAGTTTTGTGTTATCGCTTCACAGAACAGAATCCCAAAACTTCTGTGGCTTATTTATACAATTTTGATCATAATGGAGCTGACCTTTCTTGTGCTTTTGGGACAGTAGTGGTGTACGTCTTGGAGTTCTGGCATGGAAACCTTTTTCCTTTAGTACAAGGCTTATTGTACTCACTGAAACCTCAGTGCTTGCTGCCAACAAGTCTTGCTTCAGGTCTCTTGCAGTCACTAGAGGGTTTTTTTTTTTTTTAGAACCTGCCTTCTCAGAAATTTGGTTGCTGCCATTGATGGCTTAATTTTTCTGCCCCATCCAGGTAGTGTAACTATTGTTCCTTCAACTTTGAACTTGCTAACTATGCTTCCAACGGTGTCTCTAGGAACATTCAGTGCCTTCACTATCTCTTTGAATCATGTTCCTTGTTTGTAAAGGGTGATCTCTTTTTAACTTTGTGGACCATTCTTTTGCCATATTTCAAACATGCAGTCAAACATGACACTCAAACCACTAGCCAGTTCAGGTATTTCAATGTTCCTCAAGCAACTAATGAAGCCCTTGATTAGCTGTGTGAAGTGTGCTTGAGACAACAGGTGTTTTTCATATTTATTGGAATTTACACAATTGAATATGATATTGAAAAATCATGTATAAAGCGTATAATTTTTTCCCCCCCAGGAGATGCTCAGTTGACCCTTTAGTGTTACTAGTACAAACCTGTCTCACTGCACAATTCACTGCCATTTAGGAGTTAAATCATTTGTTTATGCAGTCATAGTCACGCCCCCCTGCATGTGACTTGCACAACCTTCTTGAACAATTCCTGTAAAGAGTCATCTAATGTCTACACTTACTTTATTACAAATACTGTTTAATTTAAAATTACTTATATCCTGCTCAGTTAATAGCTTGCTATACCCTGCAGGAGCATCCTGTGTGTGGTTTAAGTTCAATTTACAGAACTGGAGATAAAAAAATTTTTTTACAGTAAGTTACATCTCATTGAAAACCCATTTAGTTTTCATGGAGGCTGTCAGTCACAGCCACGTAAGGTGAGGTGTGGCTAGGGCTGCATAAACAGAAACAAAAAAATGAATTTAACTCCTAAATGGCAGTGAATTGAGCAGTGAAACTTCAGAGGCATGATATTTACACCAAAGCTGCTTCATTAAGCTAAAGTTGTTTTGGTGACTATGGAGTTAACCCCTTAAGGACAAGTGACGGACGAGGTCCGTCACTCAGGGGAAAGTGTTAATGACGAGTGATGGACCTCGTACGTCATGCGTTAGAATTAACCCCGGAGCCGGCGATCGCGGGGTTAACGCTGTTGCTGGGTGCCTCCAAGTCAGAGGCAGACCAGCAACATCAAATCCAGATATAACATCCCATGTGATTGCTGTGACAACCACAAAAAAAAAAAAAAAACCCTGAAAATCCCAGACACATTATATATTCTGTAAATCAGAACAACTAAATGAATTTATTTTTAATTACTTTCCTTAACCTGCACTAATTATGCACACATTATTGCAAAAACTGTAAAAAAACAAAAATTATTTTTTTTTGCATTTTTCTGTAATATATATATATATATATGTTACATCAAATAAAGCCCTTTCTGTCCTTTAAAAAAACGATATATAATATGTGTCGGTGCAATAAATTTGTAAAATGCAAATTGTAGTTGAACGCAAACAGCAAAAAATGCTGTTGTCATTAAGTGAAAGACAAGCTTCTGAAGCTCTGTCCTTAAGGGGTTAAGGTTGTGTTATTTATGTAAATAAGTAATCAAAAGAAAGCCATATCTCCTTTAAAAATATTATATATAATATGTATGGTTGAACTTTTAAAAATAAATGTTTCTATTGTGGTGGAATGTACACATGGCAAAAGTGTCAAAAAGGCTTTTTTCACCAAACGGTCACATTTCAAAAAAGGCTTAGTCTTTACTGGGTTAGCATTAGGCACTGTAATAGCATTATTTCAAACACAGTTGGGCTCATTATGTGAATGTTCACTTATGAGCAGTCTTTACTCAAATGATTAATTCAACAATGAAAATGGATTATTTTTTACTGCTATGTTATGGTTACACAGTAGCTACAGGAGCTTGCAAGGGCGTTGTTGAGCAGAATAACAAAAAACAGAAACAAGGGCATCAAAGCATGGGAAATTGCATGGCCCCAACCACACTTATTAACTTCAGACCCTCCATGGATCAGTGACAAAATTAGACCCAGAGCTTTTCAGGTCAGGTGTCCAACCTATGAAAGTACCTCCAGTAACACCTCAGGGTGCTTAATTTAATATCTAAATAAATGTAAAAGAAAAAAAATCATATGACTAACAAGCAAATGCAACAGCTAATCTGTAGTAATACTTACTGGAGCAGTGCAATTTCACTGGTGGAAGGCACAGTTCTTTGGCAATGTCTGTGTTCTTGATTGTCATTGCCTCATCAACCTGTAGAGCACAGAAGACTTTGAGCATTTTCCATATGAAATCTTACATTCTCAAAACAATGCACTACATAGACACATATAAATAGAGAACTATACTCTTATACACTGGTCAGCAGTGACAATCTGCTTTTTATTGTATAGTTCAGAACCAAAATGTCAGAATTCAGTAGCATGATCTATACACTAAAAATGCTTCATGGAGCTCAAGTTGTTTTGGTGCCTCGAGTGTTCCTTTAAGTAAACATGGTTTTAATAACATAGCAACTAGATAACCTTACTAAGCATTCACCTGAACAAAAAACAAAACAAAAAACCAACCCTCCCAAATTCTATGTGAACTCGTGTCAGACTAAGTGCAATTGTGCCCACTGCTGATCAGCAAAGCAGTAAGGCTTCATCTGCAAGCTGCACTTTTTTTTTTTTTTTAAATACACTTTGCAAGGCAAAAATGTGTGATGAAGTGCATACACCACCCATTATACACTTCTCTCCATACTCAGAACTACAAGTTAAGGAAATGCATTTACTAGACCTTTATGGTGATATTTGATATGTGGTGCTTTTACAGAGGTACTGGAGAAAATGCAGCAACACAAGTTTGTAGTGATTATTACTAATGTGGATGTTTTAATAATTAAAGGAATGCTCCAAGCACCACACACACACTTCCGCTTACTGTAGTGGTTGGGGTGCACAGACCCTGTGTTGCATTCACAGATTACAATTCTGCCCCCCTCTTTTTGTTTACTCTATTAGTTAGTGTATGGCACAGTAACCCTTATTCCAATTACTAATCCCGTCTAAAGCTCCTCCCACTTGCCTGGGTCACTCTGTGCCAGTGACAGAGCAACTGTCTGATGGGCCAGGAAGATGCTGTGCTCTGTACCTTTTACCAAACTGAAAAGGTCTGAAAGCTGTTAGAAGCACATAGCTGCTATCAGCTTATTCAACAGTTCCACTCATTAAGTTGCATGAATCAAACAGTTGCTCTAAATTGAACTACATGTCCCATAATCCCCCTGTGGACACAGGTATATGGTATAAGTCTGGATAAGAGACTATTGACTCTTGGACTCTTTTCTTGGTCAAGGATAGGCTGTCTTCCTGCTGCTGCTACCTGTTTGCCTAGGTGTTTTCAGCAGCTAAAGTTACTTTAAAAGGAAATTAACTTTATTTTTGCTTTTTTTGTTTTGTTAATATTGATACCATACATTGATATGTGGATTACCTCCTTCATGGAGCTTCCCTTAGATGTATGGAGGTGGCATTTCACTTTATATATAATAAGTTACAGAAAACAGTGTTTACTTAAGCATTATTGCATGCTGCAACCTTTATTATGGCAATTGGCAAAAATCAGATAGCCCAGCCAACTGCAGAATATATAAACCTAAATTTAAGTTACCGTTTTTCCTTTCACCCATTCAGTAGCTAATGAGCTGGATGCAATAGCAGAGCCACATCCAAAGGTCTTGAATCTTGCTTCCACAATCTTCCCACTCTCATCAACTTCTATCTGCAAGACAAAACAGTACAAGACTCACTGTTAAAGACATTACCAGCTCAAGAGACCGTGGACAATTAGCATACCACTGAAATTTAAACCCCTGGAAATACAATTTGTGAACATCGAAAATGTACTAAACAAACCTTGGTCTTATAAAGAAAATAAAAATCTACAATAGGGTAAATGTTTTTGCTACTCTTCAAGTCCATATTGCAGGAATTAATCAAGGCTGAAAAAGCAAGAGTCAACATGTTATGAAAGAAAAGTATACACATGACCTACTTACTTGGAGTTTCATAACATCTCCACATGCAGGAGCACCAACCAAACCAGTTCCTACATTCTTAGAGTTCTTGTCAAGGGATCCAACATTTCTTGGATTTTCATAGTGATCCACTACCTGCAAGACATTTATGCAATGATTAGCAGAAGCAACTGTCCAGCACTGACCTTGAGAAATTGTCCTCTAACACAGACTAACAAATGTATCACTTGGGGAGAGAATAAAACCAAACAGGCTAAGCACACACCTAATGAGAGTAGTAATGCAGAGTTTGGCAGCATTTGACCTATTTATGAGGTAGGAGAGATGCACCTACAAATAAAATTTATATATAAAAATGACATATACATTGTTGTTGATCAGCCACAACTTTAAAACCACCTGCCTAATATTGTTTAGACCCCCTTGTGCTGCCAAACCAGCTCGGATGCGTCAAGGAATTGACTTCACAAGACCACTGAACATATTCTGTATCTGGCCCAAAAACAATAGCAACAGATCCAAGTTGCGAGTTCGAATGGATATGGAACTGGAGAATTTGAAGGCCAAGTCAACACCCTGAATTCTTTTTCTTGAGCAATTTTCGCAGGGTGCATATTGCCTCTGAAAGATGCCACTGCCATAAGGTGGTCTATTATATGGTATACAATAATCTCTAGGTAGCTGCTATGTATCAAAGTAACATCCACATGAATGCCAGGACCCAAGCTTCACCAGCAGAACATTGTCCAGGGCATAACACTGCCTTCACTGGCCTGCCTTCTTCACATAGAGCATTCTGCTGCCATCTCTTCCCCAGGTAAATTGAGCACACACACACACCTGGCCATCTACCTGATCTAAAAGAAAAACATGATTCATAAGACCAGGCAACCTTCCACCATTGCTCCATGGTCCAATTCTGATGCTCACATCCTCATTAAAAGCGATTTTGGTGGTGGACAGGGGTCATCAAGGGCACTCTGACTGATCTGTGGCTACACATCGGCATATGCAGAAAACTTCAATACATTGTCTGCCCTGACACCTTTCTATCATGAACAGCATTAGGTTTTTCAGCAATTTGTGCTACAGTAGCTAGGACCAGACGGGCAAGCCTTCACACTCCACATGCATCAATGAACCTGGGCGCTCATGACCCCGACGCCAGTTCACTTGTTGTCCTTCCTTGCAACACTTTTTGTCAAAGTTACTCAGGTCCTTGCGCTTGCCGATTTTTTCTGACTGTTCACTTGCTGAATAATATATATCACCTCTTGTAAAGATATAAGCAAATGTTATTCACTTCACCAGTTTTAATATTATTGCTGTGTGTGAGTATGTAGATATATATATATATATATATATATATATATCTCTACTCACACACACACACAACCTATCCACTACACCAAACACAATGAGGCCATGTAATATATTAATATAGGTTTATAAACACGGTCTTCACAGAAATCGTTGAAAGCTGCATACGCAGTGTAAAATATACAATGCTCCATGAAAGCTGAGAACTTGCATATCGATCAGTTCTGAAGGTAAATTATAGAAATATATCAAACAGTAAAAGTCCCATTGACTCTCATGATAATGTTTCCACTTTTATTCCCTTGTTTTAGATAGACGGTTTAGGAATAGCACCAGCCATCTGCCTAAGCCACCATGGGGCAGCCACTGGGCAGTCAGCCCTCACCTCAGCTCTCCTAGTCCTTAAACAGCCAAACGGCAGAGCCTATCTTGTTTGGAACTACCACTCCCATGATTCTCCACCAGCAATAAGGCCGACAAAGCATCATGGGAGTTGTAGTACTTCTAAATCCCAGCTGGCTCTCGGCCTTTTGGCCAGCCTGACTGACCCGTGTAGTTTGACTTGCTCAGCCCGGGTCCAGCACTCACACACAGCCACGCTCCCACCATACTGCACACTCAGACTATCTCAGTGCCCGCTACCTTCTTGTGATAACCCGCGCAGGGCACGCGGATCTCCGGTACCCTGCACTTGGTCCAGGCAGCGCAGAACAGACGACCGACACTCGCCATCAATGCGTCTTCGTTTACTACGCAGCAGCAGTGAAATGACGTTCCTGGACGTGCTCGGGTCACGTGGTTGTACTGTTTGCATAAACGCCAGGAGGGGGCGCTGCGGAGACTGACAGCTGCCTCTGGCCTTCAAGAAAGGGAAAGTCATAGCTTACATAATGCACTAGTCAGTCCCATGTATTCCTTTAGGGTGCAGGGGGTGTCATAGGAAAACAAAGGATGGCTTTATAAAACATTACCAACACTTCTCTGTAATATATCTTTTATCTACATGATTTTTTTTTATCTTTAATATTTTTTTCCATAAGTCCACAATATCTTCCAACCCTCACACTGTCCTGATTTTAGACTATGGGATCCTGAGTTTGGCCCAAGTCCCCAGAAAGCATAGCCAAGAGCGGCAGTAGATCTGTGCACCTCGTGGACTGCAACCAGAGAGTTTATCCCATTGGCAATTTTACTGGGCTCTACCCACCCAGGTTCCTTCTAACTATATAGCATGTGCCTCCAGCTGTTTGGAACCACACCAATTACATCCCTATTACCTTCACATGCTATCAGCTGCTGTAGGTATACCATTAACTCTCTCTGCCATCACATACAAATTCCTCTGCTACCTCTTGTCTCATACCCCCATTTCAACCTTTAGACTGTAAGCTCACAGGCAGGGCCCTCTACCTGTTGTATCGGTCTGTTCTTATTGTGTTTGTCTTTTTCCCAATTGTACAGAGCTGCGGAATTTGTTGGCGCTTTATAAATACCAGTATTAATAATAATAATTGGCCACTTGAGCCACTATCACTCTCCCCCCCCGAAAAAAAAATAGTATTTCATGAAGATAGAATCTTTATGAAATGCTCATACTGACGGAAATTCCAACCCAGTTAAGAGAGATATTGAGACAAAGTAGGGAAGTGCTGTCTAGAAGTGCCACGTGTCTCATCGCCCCCAGCCCCTCAATGTGTCTCTCCAATCCCCCATAAGTCTCTCCCAGCTCCCAGTCCCTCCATGTGTCTCTCCCACCTCCCAGCTCTCCCATGTGTCTTTCCCACCCCACAACCCCTCCATGCTTCTCACCGACCCCCCAACCCCTCCATGTGTCTCTCCCACCCACGTGTGTGACAGACACACACACTGACAGTCACATACTGACAGACACACACATACACACGCTGACAGTCACACACACAAACTGATAGACACACACACACACTGACAGACACCCACCCACGTGTGTGACAGACACACACAATGACAGTCACATACTGACAGACACACATATACACACGCTGACAGTCACACACACAAACTGATAGACACACACACGCTGACAGACCCACGTGTGTGACAGACACACACTGACAGTCACATATTGACACACACACATGCTGACAGATACACTGACACTCACACACACATTCTTGCACACACTCTCAAATTAATTTTACTTTTTTGAGGCCGCTCCAGCTTCCCTACCTTTGGGATAGCTGGTCTGGGTCCTCTCCATGGGGCTGTGCTGTGACAGTTCCTCTCTCCTCCTGCGCGCTGTTTAGTATGCAGGGGCTGGATTGACGTCATATTATGTCTCCCAGCATCATAGAGGACACGCAAGGGAGGAGAGAGGAACTGTCAGATCAGTGCTCCCTCGCCACCAAATACCTCCTGCCACCTGTCCTCCCCTCGGTATATATCGGCAGAGAAGGCACCTGCCATCAAGGTAAGCAGGTGCCTACTCTGCCTCACTGTACAAGCGTCAATTTGGGGGTGCCCTAGGTGGGACCCTGTGACAGTGTTCCTCTAGGAAGCCCACGGTTGCAGGGGCCCGGTCGCAGCTGCGACAGTGGTAATTCCGACACTGCCTTCACACATCAATAGTTATCACTGTGTGTGACATGCTCTAACCCCTTAATGACACATGATGGAAATATTCTGTCATGATTCCCTATTATTTCTGAAGTTGTGTCCTTAAGGGGCTAATCAGCATCTCCTCATAGAGGAGAACCTCTAAATGTGTCTTTCGAAAGCGAAGTAAACACTATTTTTTTTTAGAAAATGCAGCATTTACAACACCGAGACTACAGGGATAGTATTTTGTAAACACCTACATAAAACTGTAGTGGTTCTGGTACAAAGAGTAAGGTTGATGGCAGGAACCGCATTCACTCCCAACGGCCACGGGTGCTCCGGAGCAGGACGAGCAATCCCACCACGACAAGGCAAACAAGAAAAACTCACAGGCAAACAAAAAAAACTCACAGGCACTCCAAATGTGAAGCCGCAGGCAGATTTATTGCAACAAAATGCACAGCAACGTTTTGACCTGACTAGAGGTTGATTTATTTACTGCTTGACAAAGACCTCTAGTCAGGTCGAAACGTTGCTGTGCATTTTGTTGCAATAAATCTGCCTGAGGCTTCACATTTGGAGTGCCTGTGAGTTTTTCTTGGTTGCCTGGTACAAAGAGTATCACGTTGAAGCTCACACTGCTGAGGTTTTTTTTTTTTTTTACTAGCACTACCAGCCATTGGCAATTACTTCATAGTTCAATAAATGTATTTGCTAAATAGCTATTGAATTTATTTACTGGGTTTGCCTGTCTCTGGCAAGATCTCGTTTACATTGGTGTTTTGTAAAAATGTGAATCCTACATAGGATATGCATAGGAAAATGATAGATTTTGAACCAAACACTTATCGCATGCTTTCCAACATTGGGATGTATGGAATTGAGACAGGTGACAGGTGACAGGTGAAACTGGGCTGGTGACTACCACACTGGTGACTACCATATTTATTTATTTATATTATTATTTATTTATAAAATATTTTACCAGGAAAGATACATTGAGATTTCTCTCGTTTTCAAGTATGTCCTGGGCAGGTCTGCCTGAAAAGTGGGCAGGACCACCCAATGCAGAGCGTGAGGACGTCCAGTGTCAGATACCGGACCGAAGGTCTGTTTCAAACCAGGAAGCCACTAGTAAACATTGCAGTTTATCTTGAACTGCAATGTTTTACATTGCAGCACTTTGGGCAATAGGGGCGTTTTACCCAGACCACTGCAGTGTCCCTTTAATATTCAAGACAGCGATATTTCCAATTGGTCTAAATCAGCCTTAAATTTGCAATTACTGGATGACTATACAATTCAGAGTTTAGTACATAACCATGCAGGTGAGGGAGTCTGCCTAAGCTGCTGGCAATACTGGCCTTACCAACTTGCCCTAATCAAAAATGGCGGAATAGGGTTTCTTGCGCCCTCCTCTCACCAAACTACGCGTGCGCACTCGCAATGAGCGTTCAAGGACCCAGAGGTCCTCCGTTACCCTGGAGACAGCGTGCCTGGGATATGCCTGCCAGAACATGAGCAGCACTGTGTGCTAATTCTCTTCAGAGGAGAAACCCTATGAGCGAACTGAGCGCTTTATACTGCGAGCCGTGGGAATGCAAGTTCCCCTGGGATGGTCATTGTAGAGTAGGCGGTGTACACAGAGTCCGGCATTGCCGCAGACCGCCCTCCCGCCCAACAACGTTGTGAATTCGTACTGAGCAGGAACACGATGGCGGCTGCTGAGCACGGGCAGGTGGAGAGGGAGACCAGGGCTCCTGGGGACGAAGAGGAAGAGGAAATGGAGTCCGAGGGAGAAGGGCCTGGGGATGGTTCCTCAGAGGGGAATGCTCAGTCTTCCTCAGACGAAGAAGATGACAAGGAAAACGAGGCGGAGATCCAGCGGCTGGAAGAGCAGGTAGGAATGGCCAGGGGCAGGGGGTAATAGCCAGGAAACTGGGGACAGGGGGTAATAGCCAGGAAACTGGGGACAGGGGGTAATAGCCAGGAAACTGGGGACAGGGGGTAATAGCCAGGAAACTGGGGACAGGGGGTAATAGCCAGGAAACTGGGGACAGGGGGTAATAGCCAGGAAACTGGGGACAGGGGTAATAGCCAGGAAACTGGGGACAGGGGTAATAGCCAGGAAACTGGGGACAGGGGGTAATAGCCAGGAAACTAGGACGGGGTTAGCCAGGAAACTGGGGACAGGGGTAATAGCCAGGAAACTGGGGACGGGGTAATAGCCAGGAAACTGGGGACGGGGGGTAATAGCCAGGAAACTGGGGACAGGGGGTAATAGCCAGGAAACTGGGGACAGGGGTATAGCCAGGAAACTGGGGACAGGGGTAATAGCCAGGAAACTGATAGCCAGGAAACTGGGACGGGGGTGATAGCCAGGAAACTGGGGACAGGGGTGATAGCCAGGAAACTGGGACGGGGTGATAGCCAGGAAACTGGGGACAGGGGATGATAGCCAGGAAACTGGGACAGGGGGTAATAACCAGGAAACTGGGGACAGGGGGTAATAACCAGGAAACTGGGGACAGGGGGTAATAACCAGGAAACTGGGGACAGGGGGTAATAGCCAGGAAACTGGGGACAGGGGGTAATAGCCAGGAAACTGGGGACAGGGGGTAATAGCCAGGTACCCGGGACAGGGGGTAATAGCCAGGTACCCGGGACAGGGGGTAATAGCCAGGAAACTGGGGACAGGGGGTAATAGCCAGGTACCCGGGACAAGGGGTAATAGCCAGGTACCCGAGGAAAGGTTGAATATCCAGGTGCCCGGGGCTGGGGATAATATCCAGGTGCCGGGGATGCATGGAATAGCCTTCCAGCTGAAGTGGTAGAGGTTAACACAGTAAAGGAGTTTAAGCATGCGTGGAATAGGCATAAGGCTATCCTAACTATAAGATAAGGTATTTAGAAAATTGGGCAGACTAGATGGGCCGAATGGTTCTTATTTGCCGTCACATTCTATGTTTATAAAAGGGCATGTGGTCTGCCTTTGGACAAACGACTGGGGGAATACTTTACTGCTAATCGGTTAATATCACCTTTCAATTCCTCTAATCATACATTCCTCTGTAAAATGGCGACCTGGCACCTGGGATTTGTCGAGCCTTGTTTTAAAGGCACACTATAGCATTAGGAATGTAAACGTGTTCCTA